ATGTCTTTTAAAAAAAAAAAATATATATATATATATATATATAGAGATAGAGATATTGATATATAGATATGTATATCTGCTTGTAATTAGTAGAATTAGGCATACTACTGCTGTTTCTATATAGCTGAGTGATGCTCACTTATCATAAGAAAGATTAAAGGGGATAGGGAGTGACTCTGTGTGTATGTGTTGGAGGAGGGATCTCTGTATCATATGATTGGTTTTAATCAATAGTTGACAACGTGGCTAGAGGCATCTGTGAAATGAAATTACATGCAGTGTTTTTCATTATTTATATTACTGGGGTGAATGGAAGGTGACACTACAAACTCAGTTAAAAAGAATCCCTAGTGGATATAAATAAAGAAGCAATAAAACTATTTCATTTCCGCCCTCCTCTCTTTCTAGAGGAAAAATAAAAGACTTATAGCCAAATAGGCTGAGGTGAGACATTCCCTAAAAGGATTAAGACATATATATTGCATTTTATTGCAAGATCTGCAAACTCCTTCGAATCCAAATGAAATCACTCTCGTTCAGATTGATGCTATTAATATGGCCATATAAATTCTGGAATCAGTGAACTTTGTGAGTTTTCAGCTTACTTACAAATTATATGTATGTCTGTGTGTATTCACACACCCATGCATATACTATAAATACATGTATGTCAGAAGGGTTTTATTCATACATTTACAGCTGTTTCCCATATTAACTTAGACAAGTATGCACAAATAATTTGAACACTTACCTCGTTTAATTTATATCCTTGTGCAGTAAAATAATTTGGCATGATAGCTATTTTGTTAGTTTTCTGCTTTCCATTGTCTCTTTGTAAGTATCAGACAACTGTGGAAATTACAGATTGATGGCTGATAACTTTCTGCTTTCTTCAAGAAATTACTTTTGTGCAAATACTTAATGAAGATGTGTGTTTCTAATGACAGTACAGACTTTCAATCCAAAAAATGATGGGCCAAACTGTTTCTAAACTATGAGCTCTCTTTTGCAGTTCTTAAGTTTCCTCTGTCATTTATTCCTCCTGCCAGCAGTGTATACTGGGCTGTGAGCAGAAGGGGAAGAAGGGGGCTTCCCTGGTGGCACAGTGGTTGAGAATCTGCCTGCTAATGCAGGGGACACGGGTTCGAGCCCTGGTCTGGGAGGATCCCACATGCCATGGAGCAACTAGGCCCACGAGCCACAACTACTGAAGCCTGTGCGTCTGGAGCTTGTGCTCCGCAACAAGAGAGGCCATGATAGTGAGAGGCCCACACACCGCGATGAAGAGTGGCCCCTGCTTGCCACAACTAGAGAAAGCCCTTGCACAGAAATGAAGACCCAACACAGCAAAAATAAATAAATAAATTAATAACCCCCCCCCCCAAAACTTTAAAAAAAAAAAGGGGGGGGGGAAGAAGGAAAGAGAGACCCTCGACACCTGGTTGCTGTGTCTCACTGGAGGGCACCTGTGGCTATTTCACTTTGTGTACGGTTTACCCTGATCTACTGGTTACCATTAAGAGGTTGCGAACTTTTCTTCATAAGGTTGGGTTACTTAAGAGCAGAGTCTGAGAGTAGCTGGGACAGTACACTGACTGCATGAGAAGGAATTCACTGGGACTTTCTAGTGCCTTCAGAGAAGAAGCTAAAATAAAAAAATAAAAGCAGTGGTGGAGGAGGTCTGATGTTTTGGTCATCTGCAGTGGTGGTGGAAATGCAAAATTCCCTTCTCTGTAAAGCAGCCCACACCCCCTGCCTGGGACAGTACGGATAACAATGCAGAAGCCTCGAAGGACAGACAAGTGGCAGGTGATGGGGACAGTGTGTTCCTGACAACAAACTTGGAAAATGTCTACAAATGCTGACTCACCATCCATGTAGCTATCGATCAAACAAGAGCCGTTTATAAAACCAATGACGATGCTCTTTTTTACTAATTGTCTTAAAACCATGGAAAAGTCACTGAGTGCTTTCTAAAATGAGGCACTGGGAATTAAGAGCTATAACTTGAACTCAGGTCTTCTAACCACTATATCACACACTTCCTTTGAAGCTCAGTGCAGGTTTCTAAGTGAAACAGTCTATGCAACAGTCTTATATGAGGGTCAAAGACCTCTCTCTGGTACAGCAGAAATGACAAAAAAACCTGTAAGTAATAAGTAAACTTGTGAATGACACGCCCTTTGGTATAAGCAGATCTATCACAAAATCCCTTTTTTTCATGTAAATAAACATCACATTCTCTGCACAGTTTTTGCCAAGAGTTAAAATCCAGATGTAATATTTTAAATTATGGAGACAAAAACACTTATAACTACTGTATCTTAATTCCTCATACTACCAATTAAGAAATTCTGCCCTAAAGTATGAATGTTTCTCTGCAATTCTCTACAAATCACCACTAATAAGATAATAGAGCAGAAAAATTAGTAGGGAGTTCGTATGATTTTTCTCCCCCTGAAGGCTGGCTTTAGTGGGAAAATTTATCTACATTTCAAGCCTCACGCATTGTGAATGATAAATGAACTCTATTGCGTAAAGGACATGACATTGCTGTGCCTTAGATTTCTATTTTCTTTCATCAGAATATTCTACCTAGCAAAGTTCATAGCTCAGTGCTTGTCTCCCTATAAGGAATGTGTAGATTAATGAAACCCCACCACTGTAAAGAACCGTAGTTAAGGGCATGATTCAAAACAGGCAAAAAGAAATAATATGAGAGGTGTAAGGCCAGGCAGAAAACTGCTTCCCTGTTTTGCTTTCTATCAGGTATGTCTGCTCTGGTTCACTCTAAACAGGAAGAGCAAGAGCAAACTTATTTTATGATGCTTTCATCACCTGATTCAATGGCTGCAGGACCAGAGACAGTGAAAAGATATTTGCCCTGAAGCTGCAAGCAGAACACTAGAGGAAAACACATTACCCTTCATCGTTTCCCCCAGATCTATCTGCTCTCTCTCCTGTATTATTTGAAGAATAGGCTCCTTATCCAGACAGCCTCCTGTATGAGCCCGCATAGCAACGGCTATAACCCTGATGGGTGACAAATGTTGAGTTGATATTGCTAAGGGGAGTGTGGAGTCAAGAGGAAAAAATACATGCATTCTTTTACAGTTGCTACCATAAAAGTCAGTTTATTGTCACTGGTTATTTTTTGATCTTGAGGAACATGGTGGCTAAATCCCTCATTTTATGTTAGAGATGAATACATCAGCTAAGAGCAGGGCAAAGTGAGAAACATCAAAGGTACAGAAAAGAAAATATGAAAGGAGGTGACCCTCAGAGTTCAAGTGCTATAAAGTGAGAGACATTCCAGGAAAAATGTTTACAGTGCAAGTTTTGATTATTAAAAACTATGGTATTTTCTGAGTAAGCTAATATTAAACTAAAACATCAAGCATCATTAGCATGAGGGGTAAATTCTCTTTTGGATAATAGAGCAATTACTAATATTTGCTAATATTAAAAAATGATGGAAAGATATCTGTACTCATCTGTGTTTTCTAGAACATAAAAAATTAAAACAGTAAAAATATTTATCCTAAAAAAGCCAACAAAGATAGATCACTCTCATTTTTGATGTTGGTAATAAACACAGCAGAGGAAAAAGCCATTATTATAAGGCAGAGTAAAATTTTGCATCTCTCTGTTGTGATTATTGAAAATGTTTAACCAGTAAAAAGAAAAAAACTTCCCACTGGACTACATGATGATGAGAATGTTACTGAATCAAAAATGAAGATGTAAAGTGAAATATAGTACAAATATTAAACTGTTCTATAAAGGCTGTTTGATACAACAGGGAAGAAAAATCCAACTATTACATTCTACTTGGACTCAATATTTTATTTCTTTGCATGTATTTTTATGTTTCACACCTAAAACATCTGTTTATTGTTCTTGTGGCAGGGGAACACTTGACAAAGGCAATTAACTTACATGACATTGTTAAATTCGAACTTTACACTGTGAAATCTAAAGACCATAATAGTAAGGTCAATCAACATAATGAAAATATAGCATATAACTACTCTGGCCTTTTTGACTTTCCACAGAGGTTGAAGTCAAAAAAACAAACAAACAAAAAAATGAGTTCTAGGTGTGAAGTAATCTGTCATTTTTTAAAGAGTCATGATAGAAAATTAGCATATCTCTTTATACATAAGAAATGCAAAGGTAAGAAATTATAAACTAGAACACAAAACATCATGGTTGTACATCATGTTATTATCAATAACAGGCACAGTACACAAATCATGGCAGTGCTAAAACGTTAATAACACATCTGTAAGGGCAGAAGCATTACAGGAGGCTTTCAGTAGTCTTTCCTAATGTGTGTCATCATCATCTGGCATCGCTGTCAGGAAATCAAACTATTACTGTACTTTTGAAATTAAGGCAAATAACATGTGTCAGACCTAGATTCAAGGCTTTACTCAAGTTATAAGAAAGATGGTTAATATGCAGACTTAGCTATAAAAGGAAGTCTCTTTTGCTAATCTCTTCCATTACTGAACCAGTTTTTAATAGACTTTCATGTACTCCTTATTAGTCATGATAATCAAGCTAAAAACAAACAAAAAAAGAAGCAGTCAGTATTAATGTAAAGGAAAATATTAAATCTTTTAAAAAGTGACAGATACTTTATGTCTCATAAGTGCATCATAATTTCTCAGTTATGAATGAATTACCTGTGGCCTGCTATTTAATAAACCAAAGGGGTAATTTCATGATGGAGTATCCCATGGAGTTGAGATAGTTAATTCAGCTTCTAAAAGCGTTGAGGTTTAGAGCTCAAAAGTAGCTTAGATATCTGAGTTATTTAATATAATTTCAACTTACCAAATAGTACCTAAAGAAAAAAATAGTATTAATCCCCACGCCTAGTCCATCGTGCGATGTGCACATATGTGGGGAAGGTCTCAGAGTTGAGAGAGGCATTTTAATATTCACTTTAAATCGATCCCCATAACATCACAGCAAAATAAACATTATCAAAGGCAATTTTGCAACTTTTTTTTATTGACTAAAAGTAAAAGATAGTTTCTGAAATGTTACAATTACCAAGTCAGGCCTTCAGAAATGAAGATATTAGCATCTACCAAGATACTAAGTGAACAAGAGATCACAAGATAAAACTTATGCAAAATAAGGCATGGATGAGTTCATAGGCAACAACTTTTATCTTTGACACAATTCTTAGTTTTATATTATTATTATATACTTATTACAGTATTTCTAAACACAATTTGAAAAAGGAGAGTAACAATCTTGGTATTTTATAATTTAGATCAAGAGATACCAGAACAAATAAAGTCACCAGATATCGCCTTAAAAAAGATGCTGTATACATTCAACAGAAATAATCAAACATGACACATGATTCAAATCTGAACTTAAAAGGACTAAATAACTGGCTTGTAAGGCAAAATTGTTTGAAGACATGATATATTACACTTCATTTGAGGATCCTAGCTGTTCAGATGGCTGGAAAATATAGTCTAGGATCTCCAAAATTCCAACAAATATGTTCCCCTCTCCTCCTTAAAGAAAACTTTGACATTCATTTTCATAAACCAGTATTGAATTTCAGACATCTGACATTTAGGCTAGACAAATATATTTTGAAAAGCTTACACATTACAAGCTCTGGGACAACAAGCGTGGGAAAACAAAGTGCACATCTTTCTTTGCTGGAGCTGAAATCAGATCTCTTCAGTTGGGCAGGTCCACATTCTGAAGGACGAGGGCCACTCGGTTTGGAATGTACACCTAAGACAACACAATAGAGTCAGTGCATTTGAAAGAAAAACTGGGAGTGATGTCATCATGTCAGAGCGACTGAGGCATGATGCAGTCTCACATTTGCCTAAATTACAGTTACCTTTACAATTCTACTGGCTCTGAGGAGACTCAAATCCCACAGTTCCAACAGTTCTGGCATCAATGTAAGACTCCTTTAAAACAGTCACCGCTAGAGGGCTCCATACGCTTTACAAAAACCAATGCTCCTCAGACACTAGGGACAGAAATAGCCCTCGCTGCTCCTTTTAGGCGCTATCAGGTGGTGAAGGAAGGCTGCCCTCCAGTTCACAATGTTATTCTATTCAGGGGAATAAAAGTAACATACAAAAGATTGCTCACATCAAGTCACTTTTATTATCGTTCTGGTTTGTGTTTTCTCCTGTTATTTTAAGAACAAAACCTTAACGGTAACAGTAAAAGTTATCCTAAGTGTATTCTAGGCTCCGATCCAATTTAAATCAATCAAGAAGCTTGCCACTGCACCGAAAATACAATCCACATTCTTTGCCTGCCCCGCGGAGTCCTGACTCAGCTCCTTCTTGAAAAGGTACAGCTCCCATCTCAGATCTGCTCTTCACTTACCCCTTCTCCCCTCACCAGGCTCTGGCCACAGGGCCCTTCCCGTTCCTTGAACACTCCACATCCTTCCCTTCCTCTTGGTCTTGGCCCCTGCCTTGCCCCTCTGTTCAGAACACTCTTTACCTGGCTAGTTCCCTATCTCTTAGATCTTGAAAAATCCCAGTTCCACGGAGACGTATTCCTTGATAACTCTATATCTGATGGTATCTCCGTGCCATTTCCTATCACAGCATCATTTTTGTTTTTTTCTGAACACTTAACAATTTGTAATTCTTTTTCAAGTTTATGATCAGTCCTTCCCACTAGACCATGAGGCTTACCAGGGTATAGGCCATATATCTTCATATTTCTAACTTTTAGTAGGTGCCAATGGACAAAGTAGGTGCCAATGATGACTAAATAAAAGAATGAATGATGGAGTAAGTAATAGAGGGATCAATATGTGCATATTTCACAAGATATTCTTTAATATACTTAAATCTAAAATAATTTTTATAAAGCTGAGAAGTGATTTGAACTGCTTGATGCTTATCTATGTGCTGTTTTACACATATTTAATTACTATTAACAAAGCAAACAGTAAAAATAATATTACAGATTGCTGTCTTCATTGTGACAGTATCTCTCCATTTCTGACTTTGTGAATATTTTACTATTTTCAGTCACTTTAACTGAAAACTTGACTGATGGTTAAAAAAAATAAAAGAAAAAGGCTTCTATAGTTTAGAACTGGAATGAAAAATGCAAAGCAAACAGGGCTTTAGGAAAAAAAAAAATTAAAGAACAGAACAGCTGATTTTCATTGACTGAGACCACTGTATGTCCAATGCATGTCAACTCTGCAAATGAACACAATGTTTTCCCTTGAGGTTTCTGTGATAAAGACCTCTTACAACTGTTTTAAAAAAATAAGATACACCAATACAGCTGGTTAGCTTTGAACATTAAAGATTAAAGCAGTTTTTAAATGATGGAATTTTGAGAAATTTATATCATGAATGTAACAACTAGGGAACAGTTTTTCTAATTTTGAGTCAAAAGTAACAGTGATTTAGGAAAAGAACATGGTCATCTGAGAAAAATTTCACAAATGCTAACAGTTTACTGGATTACTCAATGTCTCACAGTCTGATTTGCAATCCAGTACTTCCAAAAGATAATATTACATCCTTGCAGTCTTTAAGTGTGGGGAACCCATGTATTTCAATGCCATAATCAGTTTCCCTACAATTTACACAGTTTTTAATGTCATATAAAACCACATCATGATTTGATTGCTAATATAATCTCTTCCATTCAATAGTTTCTCTTTGACTGTGATAGGTAAGATGTTATAAGATTGGTTCAACAAAAGGAAGCTGGAGGTACTCATGAACAAAGCAGGACTATTACCAATGGTCCCAACAAATCCAGTCCAAAGGATGCCCTATTCCCACAATGACACTACAGACTAAAGCAACAACAGACCAAAGCAAAAGAGGAGAAATAAAAGAAATCAACAATCAGATTCAATCATTTCTCTCTCCAGGTCTTCTCAAAACAGGCATGAATCAAGAGACAGTTGTCCTGCCCTTCTAAAGGAATTTGCTATGTATTTATTCTAGCTGTTTGGTTTGGGGAATCATAGTAACTAGGTGTAACTAATCAGTGGGACAGCAGGTTATAATCAGAATGGTTCTGATTTGTTCTATCAGGGCCATTCTAAAACTGAAGACCAATCTAAATTTCTCAGCAGCACCGGAAATTGGAGAAAAGAATTTCAGTTCCCTTTTCCTTAAAAACATTTCTCTGATATTATTTGGTCCTATATGCAGATAAAAATATTCTGATTAGCCCAAGTCTCCTGAGAAAGAAGCAATAAAACACACAAGTCAGGCCTAGGACAAAAAATGATAGGTCCGTGCTCAGTGTGGCACAGTGATATACCAGGACACATCACTTCAATCTCTTACTGGATCTTATGCACTTTTGATATTTACTCTGATTCATAACCTCACACCGATTTCATTAATGAAATATGAATAACTATATGCTGATAATTTAGAAGCAATCTTACTCTCTGGTATTTTAGCTAGCCCAAATTTAAGTGTAAAACAAACTGGATGACATGAGAACTTCAAGGTTTGCAGTAAATGCATTGAGTTTCCTATTTTGTTATTTAATGGTTAAAAAAATCCTCCAAGAATTCTCTCTCAATGATGCTGGCCATTTTATGTAAGGACCTTTATGATGCCAATTCCAGCCACACTTAGAGACCTCTTAATACTATCTGCTCAAAAACCATCACCTGATAATTGTACAGTATCATTAATGGGAATATTGTGTAATTATATTTTTTCACTGCAGTGTTAATTACCAGAATGTGTTCATGTTGCTTTAGAGTCCCTGCAGTATAAACGACATGAAAGAATTTCCCCAAGCAACGGATTTTTCTTAACTATGGCTATTTATGGATTTTGGACTTTTCTTCCTTACTAGGGTTCTGAGTATATAAATCAGTGTTCTTAGTAGTTAGGAAATGACTACAAATTATACTAAAGGACTTAAGATAATTAGAGCTAATCCTTATGATGAGACAATTACAGACATGAACAATTTGGGGACTATAATTTAGTGCTAATATTGGCTCTGTAAATCTCAACTTACAATTTTAATTCTATAAATAGTTTTGATTCATACGGCAAAAGAAATATGAACATATTTTAAGTAGATTTAAACATAAATGCTTATATTTAAATACGAACAACTCATATTTAAGTATATGTATATAGAAACCATTTAGTACACACATCACAAATAAAATATGCTGATAAACATGTTCACTAGGCCCACTTACTAACCATTAGGCCGTAAACATTTTGTAGCTAGGATCACATGAAGAACATGTGAGACAGCGTAATGTAGAGCCATGAATTTCATTGTTTCTAGCTATCTTTATAGTCCATTCTTCACAAGGAATCAGAATGTCACATTATAATCCAGTTCATTTATTAAGAGAGTCAAAATGCATGCTAATCTATCCAGTTATTTTGACTACCTTAATGACTTAATCACTATGCAAACCATTAGTATGGCTCAAAAAATAACTGACCACACAATAATCTACTGTATTATGTCATCCAGGCAAAGTATTATGTTCTTCTAGGGTCAAAATTGAGTTACACAATTTAATTACACAAATTAATTACATAATTTTTGCAAACAGCATGTCAAAAATTTGAAAACCAGAAAATTTGAAAATAACTTTAAATACAAAATACTTAGGGCTTCCCTGGTGGCGCAGTGGTTGAGAGTCCCCCTGCCGATGCAGGGGACACGGGTTCGTGCCCCAGTCCGGGAAGATCCCACATGCCGCGGAGCGGCTGGGCCTGTGAGCCATGGCCACTGAGCCTGCGCGTCCGGAGCCTGTGCTCCGTAACGGGAGAGGCCACAACAGTGAGAGGCCCGCGTACCGCAAAACAAAACAAAACAAAACAAAAAAATTTAAAAGGTAAGTTTTGAAATGTTCTTAGAAATTGTAAAAGTTAGCAATAGCACATAATCAGAGTGATAACATCATTTGATGAAAAGGGCATTAGACCCTTAACAATCTATATACACTTGTCATAAAAAATCAAAGATTATTTTGAAAAATAAGGGTGACATATATAATAATTTCAATTTTCACATACATGCTTTAGTTCATAAAATATTTTCTAAGAAAAAAATCTTATTAATGTATAAGTATATATTATCTCATTTAGTTTAGAATATGAAAAAGAGTAAACTTTAAGAATCAAAATTGATTTTGCCTGAAAAAAAAACCTAAACATTTTCATAATTCTGGATAGAGCAAAAAACGTTTCCCAACTTAATTTATATTTTCAATGCCTACAACTGAGGGACAATAAGAAAGATACCTCTATGCCAAATGCCCTATTTAAACTAGAAGTCTACCTTTGAATCACTAAATTTAGAATGGGAATAAACAGATCTACTTCTTAAGGATAAGGAGATTAATTGGCAAAGTAATATATGCTAAAACTATTGCTTTATTCACGTTTCACCATTAAGACTGCTTAAGTTATTGTAAAGGAATCTAATTTATTTCAGGTTCAATAATCTCTGCTCTTCCATTTGTGCCATGGAATTTGAATTTATGAATCAGAAAAGAGAAAGAGAGCACCCCTGCCCCTCCTCATGCACTGATTAAGATATAGGTTAATATAAGTTCCTATATCGGGAACCAAAATATAGAGAAATCATTATGCTAAAATGGAGTTCCAAAAACTGTCAGTAAAGAAGAATGGAAAAGTTCTGCCCTATAGCTTCTTGGCATTTGTGAGATACTCCGACCTTAGCATGTATGTTTCAACAGTAGTACACATGCAGTTCTCCTCTGGCTTAAC